TGAAAGACATGAGTTTCTGAACTGAAAAGGTGTATCCCCCAATATTCTGAAGTGCATAAGGCAAGATACTGGCATGAAAATACATCATAACAAAATGTTAAAACTTTGAGAGCAAAGAGAAAATTCTGAAATTTTTCAGGAAAAAAAAATAACAGATAACAAACAATAGGTCAAGAACCCAAATCAATTCAAGCTTCCTAGTAGCAAGATTGGAATTTACATATAAGACAATCCTTCAAATCTTGAGGGAAAATGACTTCCAACCTAGATGTCCATAATAATGTATAAGGGTAGAATGAAGACATTTTTGGTCATGAAAGGTATCCAGTTTTAGCTCTCATCCTTCCTTTCAGAGAAAGCTCCCGGAGGATGTGCTTCACCAAACAAGAGCATAAACCAAGAAAGAGGAACACATAGGGATCTAATCAGAGAGGGAGAAAGGGAGGCCATGGAAGTTGTAGGGGGTATTAAAGAAAGACTCCAGAGTGACAACTGTGCAGCCTGCTTAGAAAATAACCAAACTGGGGGCACCTGGGTGGCTCAGTCAGTTAAATATCTGCCTTCAGCTCAGGTCATAATCCAGAGTTCTGGGATTGAGCCCCACATTGGGCTCCCTGCTCAGCAGAGAGCCTACTTCTCCCTCTCCCCTGGCCCTCCCCTTGCTTGTGCTCTCTCTCTCTCTCTCTCAGATAAAGAAACAAAATCTTTTTTAAAAAGGGAAAGAAAAAAAGAATCAAACTGGAACATCTCAGGGCTTAAAATAGAGTTGATGGATGATTTAGTTTTAAGTCCATAGGAAACTAAGCAAACAAGCAAAAACGGGCTTTTTTTTTTCAACCCAAAGAAAACCAGAACAATAAAGAAAATATTGTCGTAATAGCCCATTTGGTCCAACTGCAAATAGCATTTAGAAGGCAATAATGATATAGACATTGAAAGCTGAGCTAGCCAAAAAATTTTTATAAACCATTCTGAAAGGATGTCTGCAGGGAGAGCTTGAGCATGTGATTACCCATGCAAGGGAAGAGAACTAAATTATCATCTGCCCCTGGGATGGCAGGAGAGAAAACCTCCAACTGAAATAATCAATGTAACATGTCATTTAGAAGTACAAAGTCAAATACCTACAGAAGTCGCTGCAAGGGTTGCAAGTGCTTTCCTTGGGGACGTGAGGCATGGGAAGCAGGAGACAGGAAATTTTTGTTCCTAATTAGGCTCCTGTAATCCTCTGACTTTTTAAACTATATAGCTGTATAACCAACTCCCATAAAATTAATATTTTTTTTTAAAAAAAAAGGACTTCTTTCTGGCCATTTCTACACTATATATTGGGTTTCATTTGCAAAATAGAGATTGCACTTTTATTTTTGTTTTTCACAAAGGTCCATCCACTCCAAAGGCTTTCAGAGCTTCTACACTGCAGCTTACAATGCTTCTTTTTTCCCCTGCTGTTAGTTATTTTACACTTATCATACATTCTTTGCTTAAAAATTCTGCTTATCAACCACTTGGTCATTTACTCCAGCCTAATTCTAAAAATAAATGACTCTTGTACTGATTAAATACTGTTATCTCTATAGTTGTTAGCAGGCCCACATCAACATTAATGACTAAAAGGATAAAACTGCAGTTCATTATACAAAAATGTGTGTACATACTACCTCTAGTTCTGCACCTCCTAAGGTGTATAGACAAGACAACTGCTAGCTTCTGTTGCTTGAAAAAAAAATTATTTTTAAACTTGTCTTTTTAAAAATAAATTTATTGCGGACTCTAGAATACTGAGGGCAGTAGTGGACTGTAGAATTGAATAAGTTTTAAGTAAAGATCATCACTTATTTACTAATACAGACTCGGGTATGTGTATTTTGGTGATGATGCATGTTGGCTAAAAACAAAAGAGGGAAAAAAATTTTAATTATTTACTTCAAAGGTAAATCCCTGAAAGGGATAATTAATGCTCCTCAGTTCTTCCTTTTACAGCACACAGACAAGTGAAATTCTAGTCATATTACTATTTGAGATGGTGGCACATCAGTTTTTACCCATTAAGAAATTCAAACATTTGTGATATGATTTTAAAGATGAGAGTAAGTTCAGAAAAAGTGCTAAAAATGTTATCTCCAAAAAACGGGGGCTGGAAGGGGGGAGGCTACTCTCTGGTTCTATGATGTTTAATACGGAGCTTTCAAGAACAAAAATGTGGTCGGTTATGTTTTTAATATTTGAATGAGCACAAATCCAAACCACAGATCAGTGTGAAGAGGCCTGATTCTCATCTGACCTCACTGTTTCAGGAGGAGGAAATTCTCCCTCCGAGAAGGTAAATGCTTTGCAGAGGCCACGCAGCAGCAGCAGCCGCCGAGTGGAGGTGCCAAAGCCAGAGCATCTGCTTCTCCTGCCAGGGCTCTTTCTCCATGACGTGGCCTCACCTCGGTGAGGGTGATTATCATCATATACATAAAATCTTAAGAGCCACAATCAAACCTGACGTTTACTGAGCCCTGGGTATGTGCCTGGCACCGTTTCAGCACACACTGTGGGTCAGCTCATTTAACCCTCTCGGCATCCCCAAGACAGGCCACCCCAACAACTTCCCCTTTACCTGAGGAGCCTGAGGTGTGAGATGTAGTAGCAGGTCAACCTCTTATGCCAGTAACGCCTGAGCCGGGGCAGGTGCTCTGGAAGTCAAACTCCACCGAACCCCTGTACCGAAGCCCTATGAAACACTTTAACCGCTTAGGGCAAAGTAAGGGTGATTAGTAAAAGATCCCTGGAGAGAGCTTTGTTACCGAGCACCTAGGGTGGGAATCGGGGTGTTTAACAGACTTAGGAGCGAAACTGTTTTTGTTTTATTATTTATGAATGTTTCTCTTTCTGCCAAGTCACTGTCGGAAATATATTTCAGAGTAAAGAATGGTAGCCTCATCACCTGTAAAACACACACAGTGCAGCCCCGCAAACTTTCACCACTAAACTCGATCTTGGACAAAATAAAAGCAGCAGCAGCTACTGCTGCTGCTGCAAAAAGACCTGGGAACAGCTATGAGGCTTCGGTCATCAGAGATACTCCGCGGCACCCAGCAGCAGCCCAAGCTCTCCGAAGCCCCCAGGCCCACCAGGGCCCTGGCGCCTCCCTGCCCCCGGCCTCAGCCTCAGCCTCGGGAGACTTAGCGTCCGGGGGCGCGATCCGCCCCCATCGGGCGACCCTAGGACCAGTGACTCTCAGGCCGCGCGCGCAGGGGTGGCCGCCAGCGTCCCGACCCGCAGGGCTGCGGCCGCACAGGCGCCCTGGCAGCCGCGTCTCCCGCCCGCAGGTCAACCCCCCCCCACCACCACCACCCCCGCGCGCCTCCTGCCCCAAAGCCGGCCCCGGACGTGCCAGGCCCTGCGGGAACGAGAGCAACCGCGGGGAAGAGTCAGGTTCGGGGAACGGAGCAACCCCGGGTCTACCGGGCTGCGCAGGACCCCGGGACCGGGCGGGAGGAAGCACACGTGGGTTTGTCCGCCGGGCGTGGCGAGGGCGCGGCGCTGGGACGCAAGGGCCCTTTATCCTCATCAGCAAACCCCGCGCCCGCCTGCCTGTCGGGCAGGGACTGGGCGCCCACGGCCTGCAGGTCACGAACCCACCAACAGCTCCCGCCGCTTCTCCGAGGAGCGCGTGCGCTCCCGCGTGCAAGCGGCCAAGCCGGGCTGGGGGCGGCCTCGGCGCGCCCCCGGGGAGCCCCCGCCCCCCTCACCTGCGCGGGGGCCCCTAGCTTCCGGCGGCGCTGTCCCCCGGCCACAGTGCCTGGCGCCTGCCCGTGCCAGATCGTGGACTAGCCCTGCGTGGGGCGCAGCCCTTCACGCCTCTGGCCTCTCCGCGTGGGGTCGTGGGGAGCTGTGCCGGGACTGCCCACCGGCAATCCAGGGGCGTGCACGCCGAGGGGGGATTTCTCTAGCACTGTGCACCCCAAACCTGACACCAGGAAGGAGGCAACTCTCCTATGCTGGCACCTCAGCCCACCTCCACGCACCCTACACTGCAGGGAAATGGGCCGCACTGGGGGCTTCTGAGATTAGGTATCCGCGCCCCCCCCGCCCCCCATTTCTCCTCCCGCTCCCCGTAGCCGCGGCCGCCATCCTCAGCCACGAGCTTTGTCCGCTTTTGCTGGTTATGCAAACTCCCACAGACGGGAGGAGAAAACTTGGGGCGCACGTGCAAAGGCTGTAAGCGCCCACTTCCCCAGCGCGCGCTCCCGCACAGCCTAGCTCCAGGCGCTTCAGAGACCTTGGTGCGGAAGGCGCGTGGCGCGGGCTGGGGGCTGGGGGCGGGGGGCTGGGGGCAGGGGGCGCGAGGGGCGGACGGAGCGTCGCCGGGTCCAGACACGCGAGGCATTTTTGGTGGAAACCACAGAAGCTCGTTTATAAGCGCCACGGAAGGAATGAGAAGGGCGAAACAATGACCCTTTAAAAGAAAGCTGGGATCTGCGGAAGGAGCAGCCAGGGAAACCCGGAGAAGCGAGCTAGCCCGGCAGCGGCGGCCGGCCGCGGAGCGAATGCCCAGGCTAGCGCACTGGGAGGGGGCGCGCGCTGGTAAAGGGCTGGGGAACACGTTGTCCGGCGTCGGGACGCTTGCAGACCCTGGTTGCCGCAGGGAGCCGGGGGTGCGCCCCCAGTCACCAGCCCGGCGCTGGCGATGGGACGGAGAAGAAGGAAAACCCGAGCGATTTGACAGCACCTGTCGGACCTGGGCACTCGCAGCTGCGGCTCAGGCGCCCCTCCCCGGTCCACCGCCTCCCCAGGACCTCTGCGTTCACCTCGCGACCGCGGAGGGCGACGGTCAAAGGCTGTCGCAGCCAAGCAGCGCACGCCCGGGGGCATCCCCTAGTGCGCGTCCGCCCCGGGTCCTCGGTGCGGCGGGGGCGGGAGGGGGGCAGCGGGGTCCGCAGAGGAGCGCACGGGTGTGTAGGGAGAGCCGCGGGGTTAGGGCCGGGAGCCCGGGGCGCGCTCCTGCTCACCTCGCTCACTGGCCTGGATGTAGCGCACGATGTCGTCCAGGTCCAAGTCTTTGGTCTCATCGAAATTGTAGGCGGACGTGTGCAAGCCCTCCTCCTGGAAGACCTCGTGGACCCCTTCGAGGGTGAAGTAGCAGTTCCGCTCCTGCTTGTCATCGCTGTAGACCAGCGCGGCGCGGCTCCACTGGTGGTGGCGGAACAGGGCGAGCATCATCTCACCCATCTTGGCGTACGCGGGTGCCACGCGCGTGAGGTGCGAGTACTCCGTGTCCTTGTGCTGGAAGCCAGCGGCCAGAGCCCCCGCCGACAGCATCGGCAGGTCCCAGTGCGACGCAAGCCGGGCCACGGGCGCCGCCGCGTACTCGCACACGGGCCCCAGGATGAGGTCGGGCTTGGCGCCGCGCGCCGCCGCCACGCGGTCCACCAGGCTGAAGAGCGCGCGGTTGCCGCAGTCCGAGTCCTCGTAGGCCACCTGGAAGCGGGTGCCGGGCGGCAGCAGCCGTCGCTCGGTCCCGTTGCCCTCCACGCTGCGCAGCGCGTACTCGATGGCCGGCCGCACCCGGGCCAGGGAGAACAGGTACGAGTCGTCCTGGGGCAGCAGCACCAGCACCTCGATCTTCTGCGGCTGCAGCGCCTCTCTCTCCCGGCGCCCTCCGCCGAGGCTGGCGCCCCCGCCGCCGCCGCCGCCGCCGCCGCCGCCGCCGCTGCTGCCGACCAGCAACGCCCAGACCAGCAAGACGCACGCGGGGCCGGTGAGCACCAGCGGGGACGGCATCGCGCCGCAGGAAGGCCTGCCTCGCCGCCGGCTCGCCCTCCGCCCCCCACCACCCCGGCTCTCGCCGCCTCACTCTTCTCTCCGAGGTCCCTGCGCCCCCTTGGGCGCCCTAAGAAAACAGAATAAATACCCCCTTCGCCCAAAGACAGAGGAGGAGTCCTTCCTGGCCGTGTCAACCGTTTTAAAAAAAAGAGAGAGAGAGAGAGAGAAAGAAAGAAAGAAAAGAAAGAAAGAAAGAAAGAAAGAAAGAAAGAAAGAAAGAAAGAAAGAAAGAAAGAAAAGAAAAAGTTCACCGCGCGTAAACCTGTACGCCTGTAATAGATCTCTATATATACGTATAAATATATATATATATTCGCCCTCCCTTCATATATGCCATTTTGCTTAGAGGTGGCTTCTTATTTGGGCGTTGCTAAGATGGCTTTTGAAAGCGTATTTGTAAAAGAGAGAGAGGAAAAAAAAAAAAAAGTTAGGCTTGTCCCAGTGCTTGTAATTGACGGTGCATCTCCCCCGCGTTTGATCTCATTGATTCGCGCCGGTTCCCGGATCCATAGCCCGCGTTTAAATAGCGTGGCAGCGGCGGCGGAGCGTGTTACCACACAAGGCGCTCCGAGGCCGGGCTTGTATTTCCAGCGGGTGGGGGGGCGGGGGTGGGGGACGGGGGGGGCTGGGCGGGGGGGCCTCTCATTAACATTCTTACATCAGGGCTCCTCCCCGCACGCGCACCTTCCCAGCGCTCCCGGGTCCCTAACCCCGACAGCTCCCAGCCCGCCCCGCCGGGTCCTTAGGGCCGCAGGCGCCCACGTCCGCGCCGCCCCTGGGGTCCCCCCGCCTTCTCCCGGGCCCGCGCGCCGCCGCGCTTTCCCCAGCTCCAGGCTTGAAAAGGGGGAAACGTGTTTGAAAGGGAAGAAACGAGCGCGGGCACACGCACACGCACACGCACACACACACACACACACACGCGCGCGCGCGCGGTGCACAGACACAACAGGACTGGAGGAAGGGGGTGGTCCTCCAAGCGGGTAGTTTCGTTGCAAAACTGCCTAAGTCCCGCGCTCCCTCTCACCTCTTTCTCACTCGGGCCAGATTCCCTCGTGACGCGCCGGCTCGGGGCGGGCCCCAGCCCCTCCCGGGCCCCTGGCGCAAGGTCAGGGGACGGGGACCAGGGGCCCAGGGCCGACGGCGGGACCGGGCGCCGGGAACTCGCAGCCAGCCCGGGCGCGACCTGCGCCCCCGCCCCGCCCCGCCCCGCCCCGCCGCCGCGTCCCCAGGACGGCGGGGACCGCACAGCCCCGAGGCCCGCGAGCCGCGCGCGGAAAAGCGAAACTTGTGGCTCCCAAAGGCGAGCGCGGCGCTCGGCCTCTGGAGGTGGCGAGGAGCCTGTCGAGCATCTCCGAGCGTCCTCGGGGTTTTGTCTGGCAAGCCAGGTAACGGAGGACGGGAGGACGCCTCCCCAAGTCTCCCCCGGGGGTCCCCTCCGGGCAGGAGCACCCCCCTCCCCCCGTCCCCACCGCTTCTCCTCGGGGCCGCCGCAGACCGCGCGCTCGCGGCTCCGCACCGCCCAGGAAGGGCCCGGGTCGCGGGCGGCGGAGACCCGGCTGCAAACGGGGGGGGCGGGGGGGCCGCGGGAGCCCTGCCGCGCCCGTGCAGCCCGGCCACACCGAGGTCACCCGCGGGGCGAACGTGCTGCGTGGGACTGCGGAATCCTGATGCCGAAGTGCCGCAGATTAAAATAAATTGAAAATGTTTTCAAATGGTCTCTCATTGGCCTGTGTCCGCGACTTCCTCCTCGTCTTAGGCCGACGCCCTCTTTCGGCAGAGACTTGCAGCGGACCCAGCACCGACGCCCCCGCCCCAGGCGCTGCCCTTGGTGGGTTTGGTGGTGGCGGTTCTTTTCTTTTCTTTTCTTTTCTTTTTTCTTTTCTCTTCTCTTCTTTTTTTCTTTCTTTTTCTCTTTTTCTCTTTTCTTTTCCTTGCTCTTCCTTTTTTTTTTCCTTTTTTTCTTTCAACGCGGAGGCCCCAAAGAACAATCGCTCTCATTTGTGACGGTGAAAAGGCAAGTGGGGTTTCAGGAGACGTGGCAACTTCAAGCAACAGCACCTCCTTGACGCTCTTTCTGGCGCCGAAAGTGTAGTTATGGATAACGTTTCACCCTCTGGGTCACTTAGATTTCAGGTTTATGCACTATGATCCCTGGATCTTCAAGTAGGACCTTCCTACTCCTGCAAGAAGTCTCATGTATTTAATTAGAGCTGCTAATCAGTAGCAAAAGAGGCATCTGTATAAAATTTTAATCCCACAAAGAGAGTCATTGGCACACGCTGGGAATGGAGATTTAGCACTTCACAGCGATTAAACCCTTCTTGGACTCCTGAGAAGAGAGGGAGGGAGGGAAGGAAAAGGGAAGGAGGAGAGGGAAGGAAGGAAGGAAGGAAGGAAGGAAGGAAGGAAGGAAGGAAGGAAGGAAGGAAGGAGGAAGGAGGGAAGGAGGGAAGGAAAGGAGGGAGGGAGAGAGGGAGGACACAACTAAATCACAAATTCCAAGGGTCTTAATGGATTTCAAAACTGGTTGCCAGGAGACGTGAAGGGACCGAGGTTTCCTATTACTGCTTTCTGTGCCCTGTGTCTGGGGAACACCGGCCAATGGCGATATGATTCTACACACTGAGTGGTGTGGGCTTATTAGGAGAGTCTGGGGTTTCAGTGGCACCCGGCGTGAACGCCTCTGCCCCAGCCACACCAAGGGTCACGCCCAGGGCAGTGCATTTACGTTGGGGTATCATAGCCTCTCCGTGGCCTTTGGATCAGAGTTCTCAACTTCCAGCAGGTCACTCAAGGGCACCGACAAGCTGTGGAAAGGAAGGGCCCCCAAACTAGACAGCAGAACCCGAGAGGCGCTCTGCTGGTGCTCAAAGCGCCTCTTAAAATTTTCCTGTGAGCAGAAATTAGGATATTTTTAATTGAGGTATAATTGATATGTAACATTGCATTAGTCTCAAGTGCACTACATAATGATTCCATATTTGTACATATTGGGAAATGGTCACCACAATAAGTCTAGTTAACTTTCATCACCATGCGTAGGTACAAAAATTTTCTTCTTGTGATGAGAACTTCTAAGATCTCTTTGCAAATTTCAGATATGCAACTCAATCTTAACTATAGTCAACGTGCTATACATTACCTCCCCAGGACTTGTTCTATGAGAAATTAGGATTTTTAAAGAAAAAAAATTTTAATTGAAAATATGCACATTAATGGAAGTAATATAAGTATATGAAATTTAATGTTATGAGTTTGTTTACTTTCCATCAAATTAGATTTTTTTTTTCTAAGCAGCTGGAAAGTCTGTATAAATTTCTTGAATACCATGAAGTTCTCTAATCTCAGAACCGGAAAAGATGTTAGAAGTCACTCAAGCTGACACCCCTTCCTCACTAGATGGTAAATTAAGGCCAAAGACTGAAAATGAGGTATTTAAATACATCTTCATCCCTGAGAATATTTTTAAATGGGATTGAATTAGAAATAAGCATGTACCACCTATTATGCCGTGTAGAAGAGATTTGGAAACAAAGCTAACTTTCATCAAGTAATAACATTCTTTGTATTAAAATTTTACTTTGGGCAGCCCGGGTGGCTCAGCGGTTTAGCGCCACCTTCAACCCAGGGCCCGATCCTGGAGACCCGGGATCAAGTCCCACATCAGGTTCCCTGCATGGAGGCTGCTTCTCCCTCTGCCTGTGTCTCTGCCTCTCTCTCTCCCTGTGTCTCTCATGAATAAATAAATAAAATCTTTTAAAAAATAAAATTTTATTTCATATGCAGCTAAGTTTTGAGGATATACAGTACACTACGATAACTATTAATAGAGTATAATAGAATTTTTGCAGCACTATAAACATAAAGACGGATTAAGCCAAGAAAGAAGGAAAAAAGAAAATAGCAACAATTCATCCCTTAGAGTCAATTTTTAAACATGTTCCTTTCAACTCTATAAAACAGTGAAATGGAAAAAAAAAGATCGCTAACCTTTTCATTTAGTACTTTGTTTCTGGCTACAATTGCTGAAGAAAAACAAAAGAAAGTTGCAGGGAAATTCTGCAAAATAAAATTAACGACATGAAAGGCAATGTTAGCTCTAACATGATTATTACAAAAGCTAGTAGACTTTTTTTATAGGATTTAGAAACGTTTTCATCCATGTCCACAAACTATTTTTTAAGGTTAAGCTACTAAAATAAGGTGGTCACTTTTCTATATGCAGTGTTCGTTTGCCAACTCTTTGACGTGTCCAGTGTCTACGTGTTAACTCTGCCACCAGGAAAGACAGCGTTGTCCAGAGAACCTCGACATGCCATCCTGTGAAATGCGCTAGAAACTATCATAAGGAAGTTTTTTCCACCAATTTTAATACTCTCTATAACCTCCCCACCACAACCCCAGGGGCAACTTCTAAAGTAAAGGGCCTTCCAAAAAAAGGGAAAAAAAGGGGGGGGGGAACTTCAAGATTTTTCTCCGAGAACATCTTCTCCCTCCTGAAGCCAGCCCTGAGGTCACCTTGAAGGATACCCCTGTGAAGCCTGCGGCCCACAGAGAAAATATCTTCCAGGGACAGAATTGGTGAAAACACACTTCCCCCTAGAGGCAGAAAAGATGAAAGAATATTACACACAGTTCAGAACATTTCTGTAATTTAATGAGCATTGAGGTTTTAGTTTTAACATATAGCTAATGTTTTAGAGGGAGACCATTCAAGACCTGGGAGAGAAATCCGTGAATGCCAAAAAATTAAATCGACGACGTTGCCTCTGGGTTTCAGCTTTCCTTAGCAGCGACTCTATTCATTGACCCCTTTTCTTCTATTTTACGAATCTCTGATTTTTTTCCCAGCGCTATAAATAATAGCAATTGCATATTTTTTTCTATTTGATTTTGTGATTCAATTTCACCAGAAACTGCAGTTCCAGATGGCCCGGGGTTATTCTTTTGAAAACAGCTCTAACGGACTTGCTTCCTTGAGGCCAGATTGGTTTCTGTGTCCTGTCCTCTTAGGTTCCCATTAACCAGGATCTCTTTTCACTTCTTTGAAGACGTCCTGAGACAAAATGACATGAAAAAGACTTCTGAAAAATGTGGAGCTGCTCTGCTTTAGCCCGAGTACTGGCGTATGTTCCCTCGGATTTGCAAGCCACACGAAGAATTTTCCTATCATTGATTTAGAGGGAAGTTATTTAATGTAGAGTAGCACATTGACGAGAAGCAGTGTGCGTGCCTCACCTGCATGCATACCGTTACTGTTGTATTCAGCTGGTGTCTTTAGTTGTACAGTGCATTGCGCTTTTCCAGAAAGGATTTGTGAAGGCACAAATAAAAATACATAGAGTGGAATTTTGGGAAAATCTCCTTAGGGCAAAGTCACGGCCTTTGGGTCCTACTCTCTTAGACGATGCTATTTCCCCATACACCTTTGCTAATAGCCCCAAACCTCAGCCACACTCATCTCTCCCCTCTGGGCTTCCACAGTGTTCCTCGGGGTCATGACCACACTCGATGTTATTTTCCTGTACAGGGAG